TTGTGTAAGATGTTAACTTTGAGGGGAGGTTGGGGGAAGAGCGCACAGCACCTGCCTTTACATTTCTTTACAGCCTACTGTGAGTCAATAAGTATTTCAAAATAAAAAGTTTTAAAAACTTAACAATAATTACTAAAAGAAAATAAATAAGATATATAACTTCCTAGCCAAATGAGTAGGGGAGGGAAAAAAGTAAAGAATGATTAACCAATCCAACAAGATTGAGGGAAGGAGAAACTAGAAAGCAAAGAAAAAACAAAATAACTACAAATACAAAAAAAAGATGGTAGAAACAAATGAAAATATAATCACAATAAATAAAATGGACCAAACTTCCCATTTAACAGAAAGTCTCAGGTTTTGCTTTGTTTTTTTAGTTCAGTTATTTTCAATGTATAAGAGGCCTGACTAAATATAATGACACAGAAATTTTGAAAGTAAGTGATGTGGAAAGTGGCAAATATCCAAAGAAAGCAGCTATATTATAGTAATATCAGATAAAATAAACATTAAAGTGAAAACATTGAGATTAAGAGTCAGTATATAATGGTAAAAGGAACAATTAACTGAGAAGATAAAACAATCCTGAACTTATATATACCAACACTATAGCACTTTACATCTTTTAAAGCAAAATTCAGTATATTTAAAAGGAAAATGGATAAATCCATGCTCATAGTTATATTTTTAATATGCCTACATTGGTATTAAGAGTAGCAGAGATTTGAGCAATGAATTAATGGAGATAGGTAGATGGATGGATGGATAGAGGGAGGGATACATAGATAGCAAAATTTATATGGAATGTATTAACCCAACAATTAAATACCCTCTTTTCAAGCATACATGGAATACTTATAAAACTTGACCATACGCTATTAAGTCACAAAATAAATTTCAGCTTATACCATATAGTAGGTCAAAAAGCAAATGTTAATTTACACACAGCCTATTTTCTGCCCACAACTCAATAAAATTAGAAATTGGTAACAAAGCAATAACCAACACCCCCATTCATTTAGAAATATTGAAAAACACACCTTTGAATAAGGCTCAGATAAAAATAACAAAATGATTAGGAAATATTTAGAAGTAAATGCCAATGAACTAAATGCCTAAAGTAAGCATGGAGCTAAAACAGAGGGTGTACTTACGGGAATATGTACAGCTGTGCTTATGTGTGTTATTAGATAGGAAGAAAGAGGAAAAGCTAATGAGTTAAGTGTCTAAATGAAGAAGATGAAAAAAATCAGTAAGCAAAGATAAAAGCAAATCTGGGAAAGAAGTTGATCTAGATCAACTTGAGAAAAATGTTTCTTATCTCTGGAAGGGAGAAGAGACCGTAAGAAAGTAAGCTACCTTGGTAGCATTTTATTTCTTTGGGCCAAAAAAAAAAAAGGTGTGAATACTTTGTGTGTTAAAAATTATTGTTTGGAACAACTTTATTGAAATGCAGTTCACAACTCATACAGCTCACTCATTGTAAAGTGTACAATTCACTGGTGTTTAGTATATTCGCAGAGTTGTGTGACCTTCACCACAATCAACTTGAGAACATTTTCATCACCTCAAAAAGAAACCCTCTACCTTTGGCTGTCATCCCTGAGCCCTGCATTCTTACCTGGCCTAAGCAACCACTAATTTGCTTTCTCTGTTTATAGATTTGTCTACTCGGGACCTTTTATATAAAAGGAATCATATAACACTTGGTCTTCTGTGACCAGATTCTTTTACATAGCATAAATTTTCCAAGACTCATCCAGGTTGTAGCATATATCTCTGCTTCATTCCTTTTTATGGATAAATGATATTCTATTGTGTGAATACACTACATTTTATTTATGCATTAGTTGGTGGACATTGGAGTCATTTTCACTTTTGGCTGTATTATGAGTAATACTGCTATGGACATTTGTGTACAAATGTTTGTGTAGACATATGTTTTCATTTCTCTTGGATATATACCTAGGAGTGGAATTGCTGAGTCAAATGGAAATTGCACACTTAAATTTTTGAGGAGCTGCCAGACTGTTTTCCAAAGTAATTGCACCATTTTGTATTTCCATCAGCGGTGTATGAGGCTTCTGATTTATCTACATCCTTGCTAATACCTGTTATTATTTTTTATTATAGCCATCTTATTTGGTGTGAAGTGGTATGTCACTGCGTTTTCTTTTTGCATTACCTGATGAGTAATGATGTTGAACATCTTTTCATGTGTTTATTAGCCATTTGTCTTCTTTGGAGAAATGTCTATTCTGATCCTTTGCCCAATCTTAATTGGGTTGTCTTTTTGTCATTGAGTTCTAAGATATTTATATATATATATTCTAGATACAAGTCCCTTATCAGATATATGATTTCCAAATATTTTCTCCCACTTTATGGGTTGTCTTTTCACTTTCTTCATAGTGTCCTTTGAAACACAAAAGTTTTTAATATTGATAAGGTCCAATTATTTTTTCTTTTGTTGCTTATGCCTTTGGATGTCTTATCTATAAGAATCCATGGCCAAATCCAAGATGATGAAGGTTTATTCCTATGTTTTTTCCTGAGAATTTCAGTTTTAGCTCTTAACTTGGGTCTTTGATTTGAGTTAATTCTTATATATGGTGTATGATCAGCAGCTATATGATTTAACATCCTTTTCAGCAGTGCACATGGGTTCCAATTTCTCCACATCCTTTCCAACACTTGTTACTTTCTGTTGTTGTTGTTGTTTTTTAATTGTAGCCATTTGAATGGGTGGTAGCTCATTGTGATTTCGATTTGCATGTTCTGAGTGATTAGTGCCGTTGGACGTCTTTTCATGTGCCTATTGGCCATTTGTATATCTTCTTTGGAGAAATGTCTATACAAGTCCTTTGCCTATTTTTAATTGGGTTGTTAATTTGTTATTGAATTGTAGGAGTTCTTTATGCTGGATATCAATATTTAGGAGATACATGATTTGCAAATATTTATTCCTGTTGTGTAGATTGCCTTTTCACTCCATTAATAGTGTCCTTTGTTGAACAAAAGATTTTAATCTTGATGAAGTCCAGCTTATCTATTCTTTCTTTTGTTGCCTGTGCTTTTGGTGTCATATCTGAGAAATCATTGCCAATTTCTAAACACTCAGCCTGGTGGTGTTTAAACTATTCAGTGAATGATTTAAAGAACTGAAGTAAGTTATTTCTATTCTACAATTTACTGTTATAATTATGGAAGATTTCATAATCATCCATTCAATCCCAAACTTCTTCTGAATCTTTATTTTCCTGATTACTGCCAAATGCATTCAATTATAAATTGAAAGCATGGAAATAGCACAATTTATTATGATACAGTTTTTCCCCATGAGGAATAGTGATCAAAATTATTGCCAAGTGCCTTTATTAGGAAAAGAAAATTCTTAACTGATTAAAGGCTATGGATATTGTATATCAACTATTAAATGGGTTTTCAACTTTTCTCCTTCATTTTTTAAAAACACTGAATTTCACTTCAGCACATATAATAAGGTTCTAAAACTTCCAAGACATTTTGCATTCTGAAAAGGGTTCCTTGTGGTTATAATATTCATTTGAAATTCAAATAACTCCTTGGAATTTGAAGCTAGCTAGAAGTTATGTACTGTTAAAAAAAAAAAAAAAAAAGGAGGGGGAAGATCCCTGATACTGTTGCTAATTTATACTGCTACAAGATGTGACACCTTTGAACCTAGATAGGAGCAGCAAATGTATCTTTTGAAGTCATCAAATAATACATGCACTCTCTATAGTAAATTTCTTGGGCAATGTGTAAGAACTTATTTTTAAATCTCTTTTTAGTGCTTGTTTTAAATCATTATATACTTTTTCCAGCCAGTGTTTTTCAAGAGCTCCTCATTTTGTAAAGTAGATGATGTAGACGATCCAATAGAAACCTAAGACATGGTCCTCTTCCCTCAATTTGCCATCCATCCATAGAACGTAATGATGCACATGACAACGTAAAAGAAGAAATAAAAGCATTTACCATTTAGAGTCTGAGAAAGTAAGGATGGGCTGCGGTGGTGTGGATGGGTCTCAGGGAGGCAGACCTCCACAGGCCAGGAGGGTGAAGTAGACCAGAATGGGCTGAGGAAGAGCACTGTTCTCTCTACACGAGAGGGGAGACAAAGTGTGATGGACTGGAGAATGTCATGCGCCAGGTACCTGAGGTTAGAGGGTACATTAAATACGCTGTGGCTGATTGGTTGGTCAGAATGAGGGCAGATTATGGGGAGGTGGTATGGTAGTTTTATACTCGATGTAGCTGACTGTAGAGAAACATTGTGGGTTCTTGATCAGAGAAGTGGTGGAAAAATGTAGTCTGTCTCCCATGGAGATCATAGAACTTTAGAAATAAAGGGATTTTGAAAACATCTTAGTCAACGTCTTTTTGTTTCCTGAGGCCGGGGAACTGAAATAACTTTCTCAGAGTCACCCATTAGAAAAGAGCAGATCTGAATCTCAGATACATCCCTTCATTCCGAGACCAGCACTCTTTCGTTCATACCACAGTCCTCCAGAATATAGTAAGAGAAAGGAGCGAGGGAGACCAGATGGGCAACAATTACACAGTCCATACTTGAGGCAGTGAACGCCACGATCAGAGGCGTCGCTGAGGAAAGTCGACAGAAAGGACAAATAAGAAGCACCTTAGTGAGAAAAAGTCAGAATCTGGTAACTATTTTCTTTATTTGAGTCAATGAGGCAAATATCTGGAGAATTCAGTAAAGGATTGCACTAGTTCTAAAAAATAATATTTGACTAAAGTGAAAAAGACAGATCCTAGTAAAACCACTGTTCATAATCCAAACGACCCTAGCAAATGGGTGCTAAGTAAATATTTGCTGAATGAAAAAATGAATGAATGTATCAACTTAAATTTTGTTGATTTTTGTTTTGGTTTGGTTTTTTTTTCTTTTTTCTTTTTGGATATTTAGGAAGTATCTTACAAGTGCTATTTTAAAAAGAAAACATTTTCTTTTACAGATTCACCTTTTGGGAGTTTTGCTAGCCATTTTAGGAAATTTGGTAATGAGTATTTCTCTAAATATTCAGGTAAGAAGTAGCTTATTTTTCTAACTCTATAGTTTGATCAGGAACACATTATGACTTCAAGGGGCCTCAGGCACCTCTTGGGGATCCTTCCTCCACAAAAATATATAAACAATTATATTTTATGACCTCATTGATATAAAGGTAAATAGAGTCTAGGCTGGATTGCATTCACTTTCTTCTTCTTCTGATTTTAAAAGAAATTTAATGCTTTTTTGGGCCTCTTAATAATATTACATGGCTGAGGGAAGATGCCTTGGTGGCTTGTGAATTTGTACCACAAATTTGTACCAAAGATGTTCATAATCTTGGCATAAACCAAGATTTATTTTTAATGTTCTGTGTTTTCTTCTAGCACTTTTATTATTTTTTAAAAGTTTTTAAATGTAATCTAGAATGGTACATACTTCTTAGTAGAAAGTAGGTTCAGGCATCATCAAATCAATAAGGAAATAGGGCTTTATTTAACGGCCAATTTTCCAGGAATGTAGATGTTTCAAATACAAAGAAATACTCTTACCATGTATAAACAAGCTTCTACTACCGGACCCCATACCAGCAAAGCATCTGCCCTTCTGTGTTTATTGTGGTAGCTGCTTTGACTCATACATTTAAATCCCTTTTCAAACGGGTTTTCTTGAGTAACTTATTATTTTTATTTCATCAATGTTTGTTTTGGCATCTGGACTTTTTTGACATTCTAAAGGAAGTGTTGTGGTGTGATGAACTAAAAAGACACTTAATTCTTTAGCACACTGCTCATCTTTGGAGAGCAATTACTGATACTAATTTTACAGTTATGAGAATTAAGCAAAATTCCTACGTAAGGAAGGCCCTTTACACCACAAAATTCTCCGTCAGTGGCAGTCGCTTCTGCAGTTAATATGTTTGGAGCAAGCAGAAAACCATAATAATTGCTCTGTAATAATCTGCAAATAAACTTAAAAGCCATGATGCAAATGCATAGGACCAAAAAATGTTCAAAGCAAGTTTTAATTGGGTAGAAATATTATCTTATTTGCATTCTGATTTACTTCCAGAAATATTCTCATGTCCAGCTGGCGCACCAGGAACACCCAAGGCCCTACTTCAAGAGCATGTTGTGGTGGGCTGGGGCCGCTCTCATGGCTGTGGGGGAGACAGGCAACTTTGCAGCCTACGGATTTGCTCCCATTACTCTCATTGCGCCATTAGGCTGTATATCTGTTACAGGTGAGCCATTTCTCTGTGTTTTGACAAATACAAATTTTTAGAGATCAGAATAGTTGGCAAAAAACATATAACTTGAACAACATATGAATAAAAGAAGAAATTCTACTTCCTGTTTTCTTAGCACTTTAACTTGGAACAATTACACTGACTTCACTGATCCGCCATCATGCTGCCACTTTACTCACGAGGAAACCTGCACTTTGTAACTGTAATATTTATGTTTAAAAGCCTGATTTCCAGTGTCTGCATCTTAACAAATTAACAGGAACAGCAAATGTTATACCATGCTTTTTAAATTTTTGATGAATTATCTAAAAGCATTCGTAATACATCATACTTTATTCATATGTTAAACTGACATTACATGTACTTAGAGTGTTTGATGCCTGATCTTGACTCCATAGTTCAGTATCTCTTTTACATTAAGAATTAAATATGAGGGAGGGGCACCTGGGTGGCTCAGTCAGTTAAGCCTCTGCCTTTAGCTCAGGTCATGATCCCAGCATCCTGGGATCGGGTCCCACATCGGGCTCCCTCCTCCTGCGGGGAGAGGGGGTCCTGCTTCTCCCTCTCCCTCTGCCCCTCTTCCCTGCTTGTGCTCTCTCTCTCAAATAAATTAAATAAATAAATAAATAAATAATTCTTTTTAAAAAAATTAAATATTGAGGCGCCTGGGTGGCTCAGTTGGTTAAGCATCTGACTCTTGATTTAGGCTCGGGTCATGATCTCAGGGTTGTGGGATGGAGTCCTGTGGGCTCTGTGCTGGGCCTGGAGCCTGCTAAAAATTCTCTCTCTGTCTCTCCCCCTCCCCCTTTGCCCCTCCCCTGGCTCACGTGCTCATGCTTGTGCACACCCTTGCACAATCTCTCTCTGAAATAAATAAATAAATCTTTAAAAAAAAGAATTAAATATTGGTTATTCTACATTACTATAAGAATGTGTAATTTTATAGTAATGTCAGATTAACCTACTTTCAAAATTTATGATTTACTAAATATATCTAGAAAAGAGAATATGAGATGTTGCTAAAGACTAAAAAAAAAGAGCAAAAATCATTGCTAAAAAGATGAATAAATTTTCTAAGCCTTGTTAAAATCAATAAAATCTTTTTAGTTTTACTCTTTATTTGCTGCTATGGAAACAGCATGTTTTTAAATGTCTGTGAATTTGAAACCACTGAAGTAGAAACGAGTTGATGGTTATTGTCTGGTAACAACTAGATCAAGCATAAGATGCACTCACCTGCCCCAATTTTAATATTTCTCCTAAAAAAATATGATATTCTTAAAGAAAGCATAGCTTAAACCGAAATAATATATATTCAAAAAGAATTTATTTTTATAGTAGTTTCCCTCTCTTAACCACTCAAAATATTTTATTTAAAATGCTTTCATGGTATACTATAGTAGAATATTTAGCAAAGAACACCTTTTCAGCTTTCTAGAAATTGCTCAGTTAAAAATGCCATCTTGTTATTACTCTGAGTAGGCACACAATTTATGTAATCATTTGCCTTTTTTTTTTTAAAGATTTTATTTATTTATTTGACAGAGAGAAACACAGCGAGAGAGGGAACACAAGCAGGGGGAGTGGGAGAGGAAGAAGCAGGCTTCCCGCAGAGCAGGGAGACCAATGCGGGGCTCGATCCCAGGACCCTGGGATCATGACCTGAGCCGAACGAAGGCAGACGCTTAACGACTGAGCCACCCAGGTGCCCCTCATTTGCCATTTTTAACATTCTAATAAAATGAGCAATTTTAGCATATCTTCTCTTTGCTACACATACCATGTACATGTACCTTATGGATTTCTTCTTTCTTCTCAAAATCTGAGGAATAATAGATAAAAGATCTAGTTATATTGTAACCTTGGGACCTCTACAGGCCCCAATTGTTCTGAAAATGTTGTATTATTCTTCATAATGACTGTATATTTAGAGCTGGTTTTCGTTTTTATTTCTTGTTTTGCTTTATGCTTAGCTTCCATGAAATAGACAAAAAAAGTGTCCAGGAATATAAACAGACACCTGCGGGAGGGTTGAGTATACCACATTGTAATGAAATTCTCCATTTATCTTGAGTCTCCCAGGTACTGGGAATCCTTTTCTCTGGGAACAAGAAAAAGAGAGCTACTCCAGCTAGCTCAAAGAAAGGGGAGTGTGGCTGGATTTTATTATAATGATCAGGATTTCACAGAAAAGAAATACAACCAGGCCCTGTGGAACCTAAAGTGAGAATTTGGAAGTTGCCAGAGATTAAGGGTCCCTTGATACCCCTTGCAGACCTTCAGGGAAGCTGCCTGTGAAGCTCCTCATCTTGGCCTGACTTGTGCAAAACTCCCATTAATAGGAAGCTTAAGTTTTCCCACTCACCTTAGACAGTGTCCTGTCCTCCCCAAGTTCCCTTGGGGCCAGTCTACCTACCTTCAAACTCTGAGCCCACTGGTTTGACAGATGCAACTTTCTTAATGCTACAGATCATTTTTCTTTGTGTGCTCTTAGCCCCAATTCACATTTCAATGTTAGAACCTTTTTAGCAACCCCCCTCTCTGCCCATAAAATGATCCAAAGAAGTAAAAAAAAAAAAAAAAACACCAAAAAACAAAACTTATAGCCTCAAATACAAACCATTTCCTACTTTACAATCTTTTCAAACAGTAATATATGCTCATGAGTAATATTCCCACAGCATTCCTGAGCTGAATTTGGGTTATTGTGAAGTGTTTTGGGTGGGTTATGGACCATTGGTGATTGAAAATATTCCTCAGAACAAACCCCTACCACCCTGAGATTCCTTATAAAGATTCTAGAAACTCTAAAGGACCTGGAGCAAAAAAGGAAAGTATGTTTAAAATAGCCATATCATATGGCTCTGTCTACAGATGAGGCAGAAGAATGTCCACATTTTTCTGTGCTGGAATTTTTCCAATTATTTCTTGGGAGATTCATGAAAGAAATCAGACTTCCTTCTGAGTTTAAAAAAACAAACAAAAAAAAGATATTGTATGTTGCATGGAATGGGAGTTTACCTATTCTTCTCTGGCCTTTCTTCTATCTTTTGTTGTTTTTAAAATTAAAGAAGGGGGGTGGGGCGCCTGGGTGCCCCACTGAGCCTGGGTGGCTCAGTTGGTTAAGCGTCTGCCTTCAGCTCAGGTCATGATCCCAGGGTCCTGGGTCTGAGCTCCGCATCGGGCTCCCTGCTCAGCGGGAAGCCTGCTTCTCCCTCTCCCACTCCCCCTGCTTGTGTTCCTGCTCTTGCTATCTCTCTGTCAAATAAATAAACAAATAATCTTTAAAAAAATAAATAAAATTCAAAAAAAAAAGAAGGAAAGAAAATTAAAATCCAGAACAGCTTAAAAAAAGTTGGAGCTCCAAAGTAGGGTAGGTACTTTCTTCCATCCTCCTTCCTCTGCTTAGGTGATCTGATTCACACCAACCCCATGCTCCTTTCTCCCTTCCAGAAGTAAGGAGAGATCCCGGGTAGGTAATCCTGTGTCCTAATCTCACTGCACACAATATGCCAGGCCTGCTAATATGTCGGACCTGCTGTCTTGTCCTACATCATCAAAATTCCTTTTCCCTTTGTAACTTCAGTTGAACAGATTATCCTTAGGACTAGTATATAAGAAACACTATGGTAAGCATCATGGCTATTTCAGTTTGTGCTCTTCTCACATTCCTGCCTGCAGCCATCTTCCTGCCTGCCCTCCCTTTCCCCTTCTGTGTGTGTTCTGCCGTGCCTCACTGCCATGCTCACCTTGAAGCAGCCATCCCTCAAACACTAGCTTTACTGGTGGCGCGAAAGGGGTTCTGAGAAACAAAGAGTTCCACGATCAAACAGATCTCTGTGATACTGGATTGTAAATGTTAGCCCGGTTTCATGAGTGCAGGGCTTGGCGGGGCGCATCCCAGGACGGGCCCACGCACACTGTGAGTCTTTCAGAGACAGATGCAGTAGGCCAGGTTTCCAGAACCTGCTGACCACAAAATGTTTTTATATGAAGTATCCTCAAACGACAGCAGTTCTGCAGGAAACCTTTAGGGAATTCTTAAGGCCATGCTCACATTAATCATTATCCAATCTCCACTGCCTGGCTCCGGCGAGTTGTCGAGCCTGCCTGAGTCTCAAGGACTGGATAATGGGGAATGATCCTAGCAGATATGAATGCCCAGGCCTGGGTCCAGCTTTTTGAGAATGTCAGAGCCCTAGTATCCTTGTGTCACCTTGCACTTTTACCCTATTTTTCTCACTGAACAATAGGTCCAAAAGCTCATTCTGACTAATACGCTCGTTATACCGGCAGTGTGGCTAATTCTGGTTGTTGACTTGTGTTTTTATTTCCGTTAAGTAAGAAACCTTAATGGATATTTTTCTTTTTTTTTTTTAAGATTTTATTTATTTATTTATTTATTTATTTATTTATTTAAGAGAGGGAGGGAGAGAGAGCAAATGAGTTCGGGGAGGAGCAGAGGGAGAGGGGCAAGCCGACTCTGCATGCACTGAGCATGGAGCCCAACGCTGGGCTTGATCTCACAACCCTGAGATCATGACCTGAGCCGAAATCCAGAGTCGGACGCTTGCTTACCCTACTGAGCCACCCAGGTGCCCCTTAATGGATGTTTTCAATCTGGTCTACAGCCTAGGCTGGATATTTGTCCCAATAAGACAGGGCAGTTGAATGGTCAGGAATATGTGTTCTGGGGCCACACAGCTAGGTCTAGGGTTCAAATCTCAGTTCTGCCACTGGAAAGCTCTGTGACCTCACACAAGTAGTTTGAACAGGTTTATGCCTCAGATCCCTAATCTGCAAAATGGAGATAAAAAGAGTTCTTACCTCAGAAGTTGTCCTGGGGAAAAAACCGAGTAAACACAAACACCTAAGAGCAGTGTCGGATACAGAAGCAGGGAACAGTATTCATTATACGGGCATCTGTTCCCCGGCCCTGAAAGATGGCTGATGATTACATTCTCTAAAATGGAGGAGCCAGTTTAAGAAAAGCT